CTTATGGGGCCACGAAAGGCGTGCCACGAAACGCTGTCCTGGGCGTACGGGACGCATGAGGGCCTTCGGGAGCTATGGGGCCACGAAACGTGTGAGGGGTGTGCCTGGGTGCGGTGCGAGCAGCCACTGGGGCCTTCGGTGGAGCTCCCTATGGGGCCACGAAACGTGTGAGGGGTGTGCCGAAATGGGTGCGGCGCCGCCATGCGGACGCAGCCACTGGGGCCTTCGGTGGAGCTCCCTATGGGGCCACGAAACGTGTGAGGGGTGTGCCGAAATGGGTGCGGCGCCGCCATGCGCCCGCAGCCACTGGGGCCTTCGGTGGAGCTCCCTATGGGGCCACGAAACGTGTGAGGGGTGTGCCGAAATGGGTGCGGCGCCGCCATGCGCCCGCAGCCACTGGGGCCTTCGGTGGAGCTCCCTATGGGGCCACGAAACGTGTGAGGGGTGTGCCGAAATGGGTGCGGCGCCGCCATGCGCCCGCAGCCACTGGGGCCTTCGGTGGAGCTCCCTATGGGGCCACGAAACGTGTGAGGGGTGTGCCGAAATGGGTGCGGTGCCGCCAAATGGGTGTGCCGCGATGCGGCAGCCACTGGGAGCTCCCTATGGGGCCACGAAACGTGTGAGGGGTGTGCCGAAATGGGTGCGGTGCCGCCATGCGGACGCAGCCACTGGGGCCCTTCGGTGGAGCTCCCTATGGGGCCACGAAACGTGTGAGGGGTGTGCCGAAATGGGTGCGGTGCCGCCATGCGGACGCAGCCACTGGGGCCCTCGGTGGAGCTCCCTATGGGGCCACGAAACGTGTGAGGGGTGTGCCGAAATGGGTGCGGTGCCGCCATGCGGACGCAGCCACTGGGGCCCTCAGTGGAGCTCCCTATGGGGCGACGAAACGTGTGAGGGGTGTGCCGAAATGGGTGCGGTGCCGCCATGCGCCCGCAGCCACTGGGGCCCTCGGTGGAGCTCCCTATGGGGCCACGAAACGTGTGAGGGGTGTGCCGAAATGGGCGCGCTGCCGCCATGCGCCCGCAGCCACTGGGGTCTTCGGTGGAGCTCCCTATGGGGCCACGAAACGTGTGAGGGGTGTGCCGAAATGGGTGTGGGTGATAGTGGGAGGAGGGAGGAGGGAGGGAGGGGGCAGCGGGAGGAAGGAAGGAGTGAACGCGGGGCGCTGTCTCTTCAAAACGAGGACCCACCACAGGATGGTTGGGAAAAAAGCTGAGGAGGAAAGGGAGAATGCGCAGGGTATGGCGAACATGAGGAACAAGAAGCATGGAGGAAGGATAACGAATAGCGGCGGCGATGCGGCGATTATCATGGAGGAACAAGAAGCATGGAGGAAGGATAACAAGAAGCATTATCATTGCGGCGATGCCGGAAAAGGCAACAAGGAGTTATCGCTAAATTGTCGGCTTGATCTTCCTGCTATTCCGCCTGCAAACCAAACTTCAAGGACCAAGGTGCATGGCGCGAAGCGCCACTGCAGTCTTGTATATATATATATATATATATATATATACATTCCTGCTCTTATATTTCTATTACCCGGAACCCCATCCCCCACCTCCCCCCGGACCCCCCCCCTAAACCGGATCCTTCCCCCAGGGACGCTCCGGACGCCCTTTCGGACGTTTCGGCGGCCCCCTGGACGCCCTTGGAAAAGGTTCGGTGGCCCTTCCGGGCCTCCCAGGGCGCCTCGCTGGGCCTTGCGAGCCGGCTGAAGGCGATTAGAGGGGTCGTCGGATAGGCTTTCGGACGTTTCGGCGGCCCCCTGGACGCCCTTGGAAAAGGTTCGGTGGCCCTTCCGGGCCTCCCAGGGCGCCTCGCTGGGCCTTGCGAGCCGACTGAAGGCGATTAGAGGGATCGTCGGAGAGGCGCAAGAGAGACCCAAGACAGCGCAAGAGCGCTCCAAGAGGAACCTCGATGGTTTGAAGACGGCCCAAGAGGCCCCCAAGACATCCCAAGAGGCCGTTAAGAGAGCCCCGAAGAAGCCAAAATCGTCACATTCCCTCAGGAAGTACATTTGTTGTGCATATCCGCTTTTTGGGTCTTCGCAGCGTCCAAGACGGCCCAATGGGCCCCCAATCTCGCTCCAAGACGGCCCGGGAGGCCCCCTAGAGGGGTTGAAGGTGGCCCAAGGGGGCCCCAAGACTGCCCCAGAGAGCCCCGAGACTGCCCACAAGAAGCCCAAGATGCACCCAGAAGGCTCCCAAGAGAGACCCACGAAAGCCATGGGATACCTCAAGAACGCCACTGGAGGCCCGCAAGAGGGCCCTAGATGGCTTCAGAAGACCTCTGGAGGGCCCCAGCTCCCCAAGGCGGCCCAATAAGCCCCCAGGACGGCCCAAGAGTGCCCCAGGACGGCACAAAAGAGCACCAAAAACGACCAGACGGCGTTCTCCTACGAAATACCTCAAGCTGACCCGACGATCTTGGTTCCACGTTTGAGGCTCGAGGTTTCAGTAGCTACCCGATCGAGAGAGACAGGCAATGGATCTAGATTCGA